GTTAAAAAATTAAAATAGTAAAATAAAAAAAATAATTGATATAATAATTAAAATATAATAGGTGCATATGTTTAGTGTCTTAGACTCTTGACAATACTTTCTTGGAAACCTCCAATTAAATGGAGATGGGATCTCCTAAAAGCAAAAACCAAGGTTTTTAAAACCAACCCGGACAACGAACTGGTCAAGGGTCTGGTTTCCGGGTCGAACAGTTGGCCCGTTCTAACAAAAAAATATTAAAAATTTAAAAAATTAAAAACTACCAAAACCATTGAACGGTTCAATCGCCCAGGTATATGGTTTGTTGACCAAATCAATGTTTTTTTAGAATAAATCTAGTTTTGGGTAAAAACAGAACTGATCACCTGACCAGTTCCCGATTTTTTTGATCCGACCATCCGGTCTGGTCCGGTTTTGAAAAGCATGGAAAAAGCCGTGTGAACATCCTAAGAGCAGGGGATTCAACCACACATCAGGAATATCGCCCCATCAATTTAACATACAAGCATGGGAAATAGTCCTAATGAGTGGATTGATACCATGCTTTCAAGGTGTTGGCACCGTTTTTTAGCTTTAAAGAGTCCCTGCTTCATTAAATGTAGATCCACCAATGATGAATGTAAAAAAGCAGATCATGTGAATAATGTGATGTTTTTCATTTTAGCAAAAGGGCTGATGTGCTCATATTTAATTCATTTCGAGGTTGAAACTTGAAAATGTGATGTGGCCTAGTGCCAAGCAACACTTTAATTTATTTTAGGCCCTGTTTGTGTTTGGCAGCAAATTATAAATAAAATTATATGATATATCTTGGTGTATTAATTGTAATATATTTCTTCATATATACCATTAAAATATACATCTTTATGTATTTAAATACTATTTATGACTATTTTAATCTTAAGTTTAGTGTTATTAATATGTTTGTGGAATTTGTATGTATTTCCCTAGCGTATCCATGTGTTTTCATATTTTTTGTCTGTATCCATGTGTTTTCAACGCGTATCCATATTTGTATCTGAGTTGCCCGATATGATACCGAATGCCGATACTTTAATCATTGACTCCAACTAATATCTCAATCCCACATAGTTTTTTGTTTAAAAATTAAAGTCCTCATTTCAGCATCTAAAACAATCTACGAAGAGAGATTACATCAATGCCCCACATGCACATCTCAGTGTGCATTGAGAATATCTCCTATACTTGTCATCGGGAGATGTTTCCAATACACGATTGGGATGTGTTGTGAGGCATCTTGGGGCGCTGATGTGAACTCCTTTGAAGATGTATGTTTACTGAAAATTGGAATTTTTAGTTGTGCTTGATGTTGATGATGCCTTTATAAGCACTAGTAAGCATGCATGTGCTTTGTACGTGGCAATTCTAGATGATGATAATGATAGTAATAATATATTCAAAAATTTCTTTAAATTTTATGTATTTTTTATTTCTTATTTTTATATTTTATATTTTTATTATTAATCAAATGCTTATTGCAAAATTCGAATCTAATTACATAAACACCTCATCCAAATATGTGATAATTGGATCAAGTTGTGAAATTTCAAGTATCATTGGCAGCCCTAACTACTTTGTTAGACTCTTCTTTTTGCAGTGTTTTTCTTTTTGGTGTATCTTTTTCTTTTGTTCATTTATCAAAAAATTGTAAGATTTAAATAGAGGGAATTGATTGAGGTGAAACATAGTAATTCAATTTACAATTTAAACCTTACAATTAAATAGAGACTAAATTTAAAAATGAGTATTTTAGTCAAAAGAAAGTTCCACAATTTTATTCATATTTTTAATAAAAGCGTAAACATAGAATTATATGCATGTTCAATTTTTTCTATATATTTTTTTGTGTAAAAATAATTCTAGTATATCACATTTACTTTTTATTTAATATGTAAATATATAATATTATGCATGTTCCTGATTTTTTTTTTGCAAAATTTATGTATTTTTATATTTTTTATGTTTTATTAATTTTTATTATTTATTTATGACATTAAAGGTTAACACATTTAACCCAAAAGTTAAACTATTTATTATTAATTTGTATATTTCATTTTTGGTTAGTTCTAAATTATGTATTTCATTTTCATTAATCAATAAAAATAATTCTTGTTTATTATACTTATTTTTTAATTTAATTAATAAAAATATCATAAATGTGTCGAATTTTTTTTATAATTTTTTATATTTAAAAAAATTATTACTTAACTATGACTTCATAAGTTGATCCAAATTGTTGAATTTCTTAGCCACCACTTGGATAAAAAATGGTTTTGTTTTTCAGTCAATTTTAAATTATATGGATTTATATTAAAAATATTGACATAGATCTAATTAGAGATGAAAATAATCAGAGAAAATTGGATTTAATACCTTAAGTAATAATTGAAGTTACGTTTTCAACTCTTACAATTAAAAATGGATTAAAACAAAAGTATAGACATTTTAGTAGCCATTAAAGCTATAATAAAATGACTTTTATAACCTTTCTCAAATAAAGAAGTAAAGGGTTTGCATGTGGCAATTCTAGATGATGATAATTATAGTAATAATATATCCAAAATTTTCTACAAACTTTATGTATTTTTTATTTTTTAATTTTTTATTATTAGTTAGATGAAGATTGCAAAAATCAAATCTGATTACATAAACACCTCATCCAAATATGTGATAATTGAATCAAATTGTGAAGTTTCAAGTATCATTGATAGGCCTACCTACTTGGCTTTACTCTTCTTTTTGTAGTGTTTTATCTTTTGATGTATCTTTTTTCTATTGTTCATTATCAGAAAAAAATGTAAGATTTAAATAGAGGGAATTGAAAGAGTTGAAATATAGTAATTCAATTTATAATTTACACCTTACAATTAAATAGGGTCTAAATTAAAAAAAATAAGTATTTTAGTCACTTTTTAAAATACTGGACCATATTGGACGATCAAACCGTTTGGATTGGGAACTAGTTAGGTCACTAATTCCATTTTGGCCCTAAACTGCTATTTTACAAAAATAAAAAAAAGCGTTGAAAGGATCAAAGAACTACTGACTCGAACGGTTTAACTATTTGGCCCAATTAATGTTCTTGGGTTCTTTCAAACCATTTCCAAAATTTTTATTCATTTTAAAATAAAAAATAGTAAAAAATTAAAAAATAAACTTTTCATAACTCATAAACTTGTTTGATTATTCCTCAAAATTAGTTAGGGTTTTTAGTTTTTTCCATTTTGATTTTGAGTTTCCTCATTTATGCGATTCTTTTTAAATTGTAACAGTAAAAAATACAACTCCAATAAAAAAAAATCAAAAAATTGATGCAAGAGATGGAAGATTAAACACCGATCTTATATTAAAATCTAAGATACACCAATGAAGCAAACGAGTGAGAGAGATTTAGAAAGATGTGAAAGATGTAAGAAGAGGGTGAATGGTATTGTAAATATGGTGATGTTGAACATGGAGATAACAACTGTGGCAGTTCTTTCTTCTTTTTCTTTTTCTTCTTCTTCTTAGGACAAAATGATTAGTGAATATGGTGACAACCACTTCCGATGGTGCTTCATTTTCTTCTTCTTTTTTCTCACTTCTTAGCTTTAACCAAACACTTATTTCTTAAAGTCTCACACTCCCCTCTCATATAATGGTCAAATAAAAAGTTACACTATATTTTACATCTTATCGGTTTGACTTTATCAAATTGGACAGTTGAACTATTGACTCGAAAACCAAAAGTCAAAGTAGTTCCATTTGTTGTTGAAACCTTGATTTTAGTGAAAATAAAGTTCCATAATATTATTAATATTTTTAATATTAATATAAATATAAAATTATATATATGTTCAATTTTTTCTATATTATTTATTGTATTTTTGTGTGTAAAAATAATTCTGATATGTCTACTTACTTTTTGTTTAATATGATAAATACATGATATTATACATGTGCCTGAATGCTTTTTTTTTTTTTTTTGCAAAACTTACGTGCTTTTTCTATTTTTCTATTTTGTTAAATTTTATTACTTACTTATGACATTAAAGGTTAACACATTTAACCCAAATGTTGAACTATTTATTATTAATTTTTATATTAATTTTGTTGGTTAATTCTAAATTATGCATTTCATTTTCATTATCAATAAAACAACTATTGTTTATTATAATTATTTTTTTAATTTGATTAATAAAAATATCATAAATGTGACTAATTTTTTTTTGTAAATTTTTATATTTATTTATATTTTAAAAATTTTATTACCTAACTATGATTTCATAGGTTGATCAATTTGATTTGAATGGTTGAATTGCTTAGCTACTACTTGGATAAAGAATGATTTTGTTTTTGAGTTAGTTTTAAAATATATGGGTTTCTATTATTAAAAATATTGATATAGATCTAATTAGTAATATTTATTAGTGAAAAGTAACTTAAAAATATAGGATTTAATAAGAGAAAATGAGATTTAATACCTTAAGTATAAAACTTAATGAGAGAGGATTAAATGATGTGACAAGTAATAATTGAAATTACACTTTCAACTCTTGTGATGGATTAAATACACAAATATGACCGTTATACTAACCATTAAAACTATAATAAAATGACTAATAGTCTTTGTAACTTCAACGTCTACGTAACATAAAGGAAATTACTACGTACCTTTCTCAAAATTACAAGGGGAGGTTTTTGGTGAGATGATCAAAACACAGGGGAGGCTTATGGCATTTTCAAAAAATCTAGGGGTTTTATACTTTTTTTCCTTCTTTAAAATCAGATTTATGAAAAAAGAAAATTGGGGTAAGAACCTTCACAGTTACGAGTAGAACCGGTTGTCCATAGTTTACACATCTGACAAACTTTTGACGCGTCCACTTTTTGTTGGACTCGATGGAAAAAAATTCATTGGACTCCAACCGCAGACGATCCGGACTGGCTAACTCGGTGGCCCGTCACTAACCTTTTGTTTTTTTGTTTTTTCTTTTTGGTAATTCATTTCCCTGAGCGTTTTCCATTTATCGTTTAAAATTTACAGAGACGACTGCCCGCCGGAGCTTAACCACCTCCAGTATATCTTCCATCTCTTCTATTCCCTCTGTCGAAGGGCCATGGACGATCTTCCCTTGCAGAAGATCGCCATTTCGGGCCCTACTCTTGCATCCATTATCCAACGGTTCTCGTCCTCGCCGGGCGACGTCGATGGCCTCCTATTTGGCCACGTAGCCCATCTCACCCCGTCCGATCTCCCGGACGACGACGGGCCCGAATCGTCCTCCATTCGCTCAGATTCGCCTACCCTCGTCGCCACCATCACAAGCTACTACTGCTCCGGCACGGTTAATAGCTTCTACGACTCACTGGGTCGAATTGATGTCAATGCTCTTTCCCTGTTACTCAGCGATCGGGGACCCGGAAGGTCTCTCATCGGATGGTTCACAGGACGACGGAAAACCCCTTTGAGGCCATCTATGAGAGAATTCTCAGTTTCCGCTTCTCTATGCAGCAAAACCCTAAACCTGAGTCCCCATGAAGACTTCCTGTCTTCCCTCAATTCTCCCCCATGTGTTTTCATTATCTTCTCGACGCCGTTTTCTGATCAACTGGTTCACACACACGAGCACCGTGCTTTCCAATTTCGTCGATCCACCGGTGTTTTTGAGCCGAAATCTATGGACGTCATCAATATTGGTCCGGCTTTTCGAGGACATTATGGTACGTTTTGCCCAAGTTCTCCATTCCCGTGGTTGTCCTGTGGGTTGAGCGATACAGAAGGGAAAAGCCATATGAATTTGAATCAGATGAGACGGATATCGAAGGATCAGAAAACGTTGGATTCGTGTGCTGAAGGGTTTGAGTTTGGGAGGATGAGTTCTTTAATGGGTTCGGAGGCGGTCAATTATACTTCCAAGCTGGAAAACTTGTATGAGAAGATGCTTGCGAAGCTTGAGGAGCTGGCACGGCTGGTAGAGAAGAGTTCGGATAAGGTTCTTGAACAGGTTAGTTCGGATAATGATTTTAAATGCGTTTGCTTCAACCGACTTAGGATTTACTTTCGCTGAATATGTGCTCTGTTTTGTTGTTGAATGTGCGTAAACGAGCACTAATATAAAACCACCGTGATAAGATAATCCTAGTATCTATCAGTATTGTATGTTTGAGAAATGAAAACGGGTTGTCAAGTGGTCGTTATGGGTTCTGAGGATCTTTCCTGGACTTCTAGTTACAAAATTTGTTTCCTTCAGGTAGGCTCTTTTTCTTTTGGTTCGAGTGATTGTTTGCTTCTTTGGTTACTTTTGAACTGTAAATTAATCCTTTCAAATAACCTGGTCTTTTCCTCCATGATTGTTACGGGAATAATTTTTTTTTTTTTTATGGGATGTATGCAATTCTTTGATGTTGTATTTGTGCATTATATTACTTTGTCTGTGCTGTTTCTCTTTAATTTTGTTATTATTACCTCTTCAACTCAAATTATCTAGTACTGAATACCTGAGGTTGAAGGTAACACAACCAATAGTAACCCCAAAAGAATGTAAATAATATAAGGTTTTGTTATCAACAACATCTAAGTGCATAATTATCTGCTTTGATTTTCCTGCTACAAATCTCCCATCATCCTGTTCAATGCATTATTTTCCTAGGAGTTCTCCAATTAGTCCTATGTTTTTCTTTCCCCTCGGGTTACACCTGTATATGCATTATATGGATCGTAGTTAAAATGTATTTTTCTTTAGCAGTCTAAAGAAAACTCCTTTTCCCATTTTTGACAGGAAAACCGAAACATAAAGTTACGACAAAAGGTTGCAGGCTTGGAATAAAAATTAAGTTCTCAGAGGACCTTTAATCTTGTAAGGTGCTATTTTCACCCTCCAAACTCTAACTTTGTATTGTTTTTTATCACCTAATGGATTGGCAATCTTTTTTTTTGTATGGGATTGTCTGCTCATTGTTATGATAACTCTACCTTTACCAATTTGTCTTTTCTAACCAAAAATAGAACACCAAATGTCCGAATGGTGCCAATCCATGGCCAAGTATAACTTCTTGGGACAACTTTGAGTAAGAAAAATGGATAGAACAATTTACTTGTAAAGGCTTATTTAATTTGACTCCTCTTTTGTTCATGTAATGTGATATAAATATATAATCATCTCTTAGACTTTGGTTAAGAATTGGGCTCATTGAGAATTGCTTTTTTTTTTTTTCCTTTTTAGGGCTCATGCATAAAGTAACTATCTGAAGAGAGTTTTCTACCATTCAGAGTAGTCCCATAGTGTTTATTTTATCGCTTAGAGATCCATGATGCAATGTGGGAAAAAAAAGGAGAGAAACCATTCAAGAAGAAAATCAAGTTTCTTGCTTTATTTTCAGCTCCAATAGGTCAAGCAAATTCCACTAAAGCGGAGATAATGACAGTACTAAAAGATATGCAATTGACTAGATCCCCCTGAATTTGAGGAATCTGATGGTGGAAGGGGACTCCAAAGTTGTGATCAGTTGGCTCACAAAAGTGGATGGACAGTTTCCTTGGCAATAAAAAAATACTGTGAGAGAGCTAAGAACTCTGGAAAAGGATATAGTGGATTTACAGATCAGCTAATGAACTAGCTGATGCTTTGGCAAAACAGCGGGTAGATAGAGGGGAACTATTTTTGGGCTCAATTGGGAAACAGCAGTTTCATTGATTATTAATTTCAAGTGTTAAATACAATTTGGTAGGATGATGAAAAAAAATACAATTTGATAGGAGGGTGGATGGCTTAGAATGGCCATCCTAGGAGATGCTTGGCATCTAGGCAAATACTTATTCTTTTTATGTGCAATGAATTTTTATTATCAATCAAATACTTATTCTTTTGTATTTTTGGTCAATTTGAGTTTCTAAGAATTGTTTTCTACTTTGTTGGCATCAGAGGAATTAGGGGATATGTTTGATAGAGTCACAATAGAATAAATGGCTTTATTAGAGTGTTTTAGAATTTTGAAAAGTTGAAGACTTGAAGTTAGTAGTTTTGCCCCTCTATGTTGAAAATACCTTTCTTAACTCCCGCATAAGACTTCAAACTGATAACTTGTGTTTCAATTTCTGTCAGTCAATGTAGGTAGAGAACCACTTGCCTGCATTATCTACTCAAAGCATGGAGAGAGGAGAGAGATGATACTTCACAAGTGGAAGCACATGCTCTACCCCTCAACTCTTTGTTGGATGCACTTAAGCTACTACCTTTCTATGTGTGTTCATTGCCACAACAGTCAAATTTTTTTATCAGAGTATTTGAGTTCTATTTGAACTGTGATTTTGTAATCTGATGACCTTCTGTCCATGCCCACTTGTCAGTTTCTGTATGTGAAGGTTCCGAGAGGAGTGTGAAGAAAGGAGTTCTCTAGTTCATTTGAATTTTCTGGGTTTATTTGAGAGAAACTCTAGTATTAAATGATCAGGGCTAAGGTTTTAGAGATCTAGAGTTATTTTTGCTTCAAGATGCAAAGCTTTGAAGAGAGATTTGTCTCTCTGATCATGGTTGGTGGACTGACTAAAGGTGTGAAATTGGTTAGTGGACAAGCAATAATAAAAACCTCTTTTACGTTCACCCTTCTCTGTCGGAGATTCTTTTCCCCAAAAAAGTTTTGTAACTCAGTTTTCTGTATCATGCTGACCTGTCAGTTTCTGTATGTGAAAGTTCTGAGAGAAGTGTTAAGGAGAGTTATTGTAACTCAGTTTCTGTATCATGCCCACCTGTCAGTTTCTGTATGTGAAGGTTCTGACTTCTGAGAGAAGTGTTAGTGAGCAACTCTAATTTTTGTCAATCAGGGCTAAGGCTTTAGAGATCTAGAGTTAATTTTGCTTCATGATGCAAAGCTTCAAAGAGAGAGTTATTGTTGTGATCATGGTTGGTGGACCAACTAAAGGCATGGAATTGGTTGGTGGACAAGAAAATAATAAACACCTCTTTTATGTTCACTCCTCTTAGTCAGAGGTTGTTTGTCCCCCCATTCTGGGCCACACAATAGGGTTGCAAATGAATCAGATCCAATTCAATTCCAAAATGTTAATTGCTGGATTTGAATATCCGAGTAGTCTTAAACGAATCCAATTAAGTATATCCTATGGTTTCCAAAACTACTTATATATACCTTATTAAAGCATGAACTGTTAAGATCGATAGAAAAAATTAAAGGGCAAAAATATCCTTGTCTATTCTTTAAATTCAAAACATGCACTTGAAAAAAAAAACTTTCTAAAAACCCATTATTTGAAGCTCCTCCAATACTAATTCTGTTTTTTCTTTTTTTTTTTTAGAGCTCTGCCATTGATGTAAAAAGCTATTCCATAACCTCACCGCTTCCAATCTTTCTCAACAAACAGCCAGAAATATGCCTTTGATATGGTGAGAATCACAACTAAAGTTGATGATTGTATTGAAATTTTAGGGTTTTGGAGGAGCCACTAATTTGGGGGTTCTGAGTTACTTTTAATCATAATTATCAAAATGCCACTCCTTGTCTTGTGCATCAAGAAACACAATAACTTTTCACATACTAGTGCAATTAAACTAAATATTAAAATTTAAAAGATAAATCCAACTAAACTAGAAGAGCAAGATATCATGGGCCAAGCCCACATGGAACTGGTCAAAATGACAAAAATACTCCCATTGTCTAGAAAATACAGAAGTACATGAATTTTCAGAAAATTCCAATTTTGACTCTTCAGCTCTTGCATCATTCTCTCCCGGTTCAAAAAACTCATCCTTGAGTTCTGAAGAACTTGAGGGTGAAAAATTGATATGCCCCAATGACAAAAGGAGTAGGAGTTCCCATAGCTACTTCAATACACTTGGACTATAGAGTAGATGCCACACATAGCTGGAAAAGGATCTTGACAGTGATGCATATCTGAAACACTGTCTTCCATAACCTTCTTTGTTAAATCATCAGTAACATTAGCTTCTTGAACACTTAATCATCAAGCAACCTATCTTGTGATGATTCTCCCCCTTGCGTTTCACTATGAACTTTCATATCCATAATCTCAATTGCAACATTCAGAACTTTTACTTCAATCTCTAGTTTAGGACTCATCATCTCTATGTGTTCAATTACCCTTGGTTCTTCAGCAAACTCTCAGACTTCTTCCACTATTGACGTTGGTGGAACTTATGTTATGTCAGCTTGTAATTCTTGAATTGGTTCTAGTTGAACTTGTAAGGTAAAGTCATGACTTTCTATGATATATTACAACCAGCACATTTGTATCTTGAACCTGAATTCCTTCAGCTTGCTCCACTTCTATCTCTTCTTTGATCATTAGCCTCATGCTGATCATGGATGACGGAAACTCCTTCAACAATTCTTTTCTTGGCCTACACCCTTTTGTTCTCCAATGTCTACAACTGCATAGGTTGAAATTCTGGTTCTTTATCTTTATTCTCAACTTTAGCTCTAGGATAGACATCAAAATGCAAGGAATTATCTGTTTTTTCTTGGCCTGCACCCTTCTTTATCTTGAGAGCTAATTCAGAACCATGAAAATTTGCAAGTCACAAATTTGAACTGTAAACAATTTGCTTTTCACTTTCTGTAGTGTCACATCTAATAGATGATCCGTCAAACTTATGCATATATTAAATTACAGACGTACCTTGCTTGAGGTTAGTCAACTCCATATGTTGCAAATTTGCAATTGAGATAGTACCACTTGTGCAATTGACTCACCTGTTTGTGTGTTATGTAATGGAGTAGAAGAATCAACTGACCACCTGTTACTACATTGCAGTTTTACATACAACATATGGGTGAAAATCTTTAGCATATTTGCCATCAAAAGTTGCTGCCCTGCAACAGTGGAAGCTTTTGTAAAAGGCTGGTGGGTGGATGCAAGGTCTGAGTAAGAGAGGGAGAAGTCTATGGCAAATGGTCCCAGGAGCAGTTTTCTGGTTGATTTGGCAGGAAAGAAAGTCAAGGCTCTTTCGACGTAAAGGCTGTCAAGAAGAGGAAGTGTGGCTGAAAATAGTTGGGAAGCTGCTATCCTGGTCATCTGCATGTCTATCAAGGAATAGTGTTCCCCTTAGTTCTCTCTTTCAAATTGAAAACCTTTTTGTATTAACAAATGGGATGGTGGAAGTTTGTTGTATTTCCCACTGTATAGCCTCTGGTTGTACATGGGTCTTTTTGATTTTTTTCTTAATGAATTAGTACTTTACCTCTTCTCAATAAAGGTTAGTCAACTCCATATATAGATCATCATGGAAGTCTTGTGGAGTGCAGTTTTCTTGCAAACACCTTTTATCTCTGCCCACATGGCAATCACCTCTGTTTTTTCATCGCTGCTGAAGAGTTTTCCACCATACTTTAGCATGACCCATGAGCTTCATGTGTGCAAATCTATTCCTTTGTTATCATGCCAATCAAAATATTCTCTTAGTTCAGCAACCCATTCAAAGAATACTTGCAGCCTTGTAGGTCATCATCTCCTTTGGAATTTGGTATTTCTCTTTCTCTTCCTAAAAGAGCATATTTCCATTGATAGGAAACTTTAGTGACATGAACTAAGTGACCATTATTTGAACCTTTGGGTTTTTCCTAGTTCACCAAAGATTTGTCACCTTTTCTATCCTCTTTGGTTATACTTTCATTTACAGGTTCCATATGTATCTCCACTCGAGTATGTCAATGCAGCTTTCTCCCATCTTAAACAAGTCAACCCCATGATTGATTGAGGGGACTTCCTCCACCTGAAGAGAAGCTTCCCAAAATCAACCTCACTCTTAGATCAATTGCAACATCTTTTGATTTTCCACCCTTGTTGTAACTGCATCATCTGTTGTTGCCTTTTCAAATGTAAAATCCAATGGACTGCCACTCTCCAAGCAATCCATCGATGCCAAACCTCCAAAATCCGATCTAAATCCCGTATGCGGCTTCTAACCACAAGCATCCTTACTACCTTGTTGCTGAGAACAAAGTTAAATCTGCGGTTAGGCACTTATCAAGTGTTGTAAAGCTTCTAGAGAAGAAAATGAGACTCTTTTTATGGGCTGGGTGGAAGAACAATTCCAAATTTAACTTGGTTAGATGGAAATCTGTGTGCAAATCAAGGAGAATTGGTGGTTTAGGAATCAGAAATATTAAAGCTGTTAACAAGGCTCTCCTTGGTAAGTGGTGCTGGAGATTCAGCAAAGAGAGGAACAGCCTCTGGAGGAGAATTATTGCAGATAAATATGGGCTCACAAATCTAGGGTGGGACTCGGGCCCTGGCTTTCTCCCAAGGGGTTGTGCCTTGTGGAGCAATGCTGTCTCTATTTCCCCAGATTTTCTGAATGGAATTAAATGCAAAGTTGGTGAGGGCAACCTCCTTAAATTCTGGTATGATAAGTGGTGTGGGGACACTGCTCTAAAAGAAAGTTTCCCCTCTCTTTTTGACATTGCACAAGATAAAGATGCTGTAGTGGAAGACTGCTTTGATTTGAGGAATGGTGAAGTTGTTTGGAGCCCTATCTTCACTTCTTCAGAAGGAATCTTAATGATTGGGAAATAGGTCCACTAACAGATCTTCTAAACCTTATTCATAGCTCCAAGCCCAACCCGCAGGCAGATGAAAGATTTTGGGCTTGGGAGACTTCCAGCACTTTCTCCTCTAAGTCTTTCTACAACAACCTCATGGCCGGTGAAGATGGAGACTTCCCTTGGTTTATAATCTGGAAATCCCATGCTCCTTCAAAAGTATTCTTCTTGGTTTGAACTGCAGCACTTGATAAGTGCCTAACTGCAGATCAGCTGCTCAGAAGGGGGATGCAACTTCCTAGTATCTGCTGTCCCTTCTGCAATGAAGCTCCTGAATCTTCCAGCCACATTTTTATTCACTGCAGCTTCTCTCAGCAGCTCTGGGATATGGCTCTCTCCTGTTTGGTGTCTCCTCTTGCCCTCCTGCTTCTGTCGTACAGCTTCTTCAGGGGTGGACCTTAGAGGGTCTGAATGTAAGAGGCAAATAGCTTTTGAAGATTTTTCCAGCTGCTATCCTTTGGGACCTTTGGAAGGAAATAAACAGACGGATTTTTGACAACCTTTCCAATGACATAGTTTCAGTCAAAAAAAGTTAGGTTTTTTATATTCCTGGTTAAGTGTACAAAGGGCTTTCACTGGAGTTCAGCTTTTTTCTTTTTTGCAAGCTGGACCATTCTTTATCTGGTTTCTCAGATCTTTTTTCGTAAATTCCTGTTGTACAGGTCCTCATTGTACATGGGGCTGATGTATCTGGTTTCTTTTTGCAATACACTACTTTACCTTCAAAAAAAAAATCTCATGATTCCATGACCTCTTATACAAACCATCTGTTGGCATGTGACCATTTATGTGTGCACATGTCGGCCCAAGATTCTTATAACCAAGTGGGCCATCAACTTCATCACTTCTAATCCCAACTCCAAAAGCCCAGGCATTCAAACTTATCCACCTCAAAAATGTGTCGTAAAGTTACAACTTTTTGAATTTCCATTTAATAACTCTATTTTTTTCAATTCAGCCCACTTGTCCCATCTCACTCCGTAACTGCCTTGTGGACTCTTGAAGATTCTTCTCAAGATGAATGCCTTGTAACTTTGGCATAGGAAAGCGGTACCCCTATTAACTCATTTCCTGCCAGACCTTTCAATTTCCCCTTCTTGATAAATGATAACACCCAATTTTGTGTTCACTGACACATTATTGAATTCTACCAGTCCATCCTTTCTGTGTGTCTTCTCAGTAGCCACGTCACATAAGCTTTGTCTTCTACATCTATCGATTGCTCTAGAACTTCTCCATGTTTGAGAGGATCCAAATTTTGAGATGAAGATCATAGTTGATATTAACCAACCATGGTATATGATCAGGTCTATCTCCCTTAACCACAATGATCACCACCCTAAGGTCTTTAAAATTTGTGGTTCTTTCCTCTGTTTTTATAATACCTCCACATGAATCCCCTATTTCCTCAAAATTCTAATATCTCCAAAGGTTGAACAACAATCTTAAAAGAATCAAGATGTTGATGCATCAGCTATTAGAATTTGGACACCAATTCAACAGCAGCAACTGTCTCATTTCTAACTCTAGGACCATCACATCAATCTCAAGAAGTTTCTTCTCAAAGAAAACCAGCTCTGTTCTCCGATAAAGGCTTGATCACGACCTTTTTCCCAGTCTCATTTCTATCGCTTCTTTCACCGTATGCCAACCTGAGACTGGAATCTTTGCTTCAATCAGTTTGCACATATCCCAGCCTGTCATTCTTTTCGAAATCAACATGGAAGGTCTAATCACCTCTGCTGAAACTAAGATTTCCTCCCCTTCACTGAAGATCTGAAACTGGAGCAAAATCAGATTGTCTTCCTAATTGCAAGAATCTTTCTATTCATCTAATCTGCATGCAAATGCCTCCTACCCTATAAATTTTCTTCCCGTCAGAATACGAATCGTCTTTGTTACTAACATTTTATGGGGAAATGACATTCATTGAGTATATTAGCTGTTCATTTGTGGTTAATGAGTGGGGAGAAAAAAATGTCACATAAAAGTTTCCTTCAAGAATCTGTGGAGTGTAAGAGTCTGACATGTGTCTGACATGGATACTTCATCCATTTGGGAGAAGCCAAGAGCCCATGAAACAGTATCCAGAAGGCAATAGTCATTGAAGATTCTTCTTTGCTAGGGGTTTTAATGCAAGAGGTTGAATTTTGTGGAACATATTATCATTTTCTATTTGCTGGAGTTTGTGGAAGAAAAGGAACCATAGTATTTTTGATAGAAAGAGTTGTCAATGAATACAGTGAAAGTAAAAATAGAGAGAGCCAGTTTCAGGGGTCTCAATATTGAAGGATTTTCTTGTAGCAAAAAAAAAATGAAGAATTTTCATTGGCTTCAAGCTTGATCAATTTTGTGGATATTGGAAACAAATGCTTCTCTAATTCTTCTTTTGATCATTTGACGTGATAAAGGCCTATATGCAGTTGACAGTTCTATCTCAATGGGGCACCACAGAAAGGCCTAAATACCCTCCACTATTCTCACCAGTTAGGTGAGTGATTTTTCTAAATTCCCAATGACAAATCTACTGTTTTTTTTTTTTTTTGATCAATAACTGTGGATTGAATTAATATCAAAAATATGAGAAAATTACAGGGCAAGGGGGCTAAACAATCTTAGCTCCCACGAACAACCATTAAACATCAAAAGAACAAAAATTACAAGACAACCCAGAAAATAGAATGTCTGTTCACCCCTTGTCTAGCTAGACCATCTGCCAAAGAGGCACTTCTTTTTACCCATTTGTATTGGATTTTCATGTCCTTAGTCAGCCACTTGAATTTCCTCTTTTCATTACTGTAATTCCAAAGTCTAAGACTATCCTCTTTCAGCTAGTTTACCACCACTTCAGAATCTCCTTCTATGATCAGCTTGTTAATATGCATATCCTTGATTCTTTGTACGCCTTCAAGAGCTGCAAGAATCTCAGCTCTCAAAGAATCTCCCACCCCAACTGGTCCAGAATACATAGCTAGCAGCTTCCCTTGTTCATCTCTTATTATTCCTCCTATTTCGGATGGCCCTGGATTGCCCAAGCTGCTGCCATCAAAGTTTAGTTTAACAAAGTCATGGGGTGGGGGGATCCAACAAACATTTGAGGCCTTCCTCATTGGAACAAGTTTTGCTATCTCCTTCCACTTTCTTTGCAGCTCATCAGCTGAGAATTCTGCGAACAGAGCCAAGGTTTTCAGCCAGTGTATAACCCTAATGTGGATGACCTCCAACATTGCTTCCAAACTTCTCTCCTTATCTGTAAATAYTCGTGAATTTCTCTCCTCCCAAATAGTCCAACAGACTGCAGCCCTCATACACCTCCACATAAACTTGGCCCTTTTTGTTGGCCGAAACRGCATAAATGTGAAWAGGCTTTGCACATTCGAAGGGGGGTCCACCTGCACCCAAACAAAGAAGTACACCACTCCCAAATGATGTTAGTGAACCGACAGGAGATTAGTAAGTGATATCCAGACTCACCATCAGCTTTACAGAGGATACATCAGTGAGGACAAAAACAACTATTGGGTCTTTTTCTTTGAAGTAAATCTGCTGTGTTAACTCTTTCCAGAAAGGCTTCCCAACAGGAACTCCCAACCTTAGGAGTATAGGATGACACAACACCTCTTTAACAGGGAAAGACAAGCCAGAAGAAGAAGAATATGTGAGAGCACTAAAGAAAGAGGCACAAGTGAAATAACCAGAGGGG